TATATATATATATAATTAATGGACTGAAATATGATTTTTTCAATTCTTCGAACTGTTTTATCGAAATGGACTGTACAAAGCGACCACTCCGAGATTCATAGCATCGGGCATATAGTCGCATTATATGACAATCAGTATACATTCTACAGATATGTCATAAAAACTAGCAGCTTAATGAATATTGGTCGCGATTCCGACTTCATTAGGCAAAATTATACATCGAGAATGGCGCTGTTGCAATCGAAAATTTTTTTCTTTGTAGATCTCTCGTATCATCTACATATATCGTCAACTTCATTATCTTTATCTATAACAATTCCAATATTTTGTTTACAGAACAAAGAATTTCACAAATCAATATAATGATATTAAGTAATCTGTATTTGGTTATCATAGTTAATGAATTTATGTAACAAATATATTTTTATTACATCTAAAAATTAATACATTCACGTATAATTGCATCCAATCAGTGCGATATTTTAATAGGCCGCGACTGTCGAAGCGACCACTCGGTTTCTTCCTCGGTTTAGTGGTACAGTAACTACTAACATGTTAGAAAGGATGCTACGAATAAATGATCTTGGAAAATTCATAACTTTACAACGCTCGGTTCTAGAGAAATGTTGTATTTACAAAATCGTATCAGTTTTTTACGAAGAAAATATTTCTTAGGAAGCGCCTTGCTCGATTTTATCATCTAACATATGTATCTGGAAATTACACTAGCTACGATGCAAATACTTTTGGAACTGACTATATCCTATCTAGCAGGTTCATTGAAAGACGAATTTCTCGATAAAATTTTATATAAATTTGTCTTAGAAACTTCATTAAAATAAATTAAATTTTTTTTTGGAACGATCTATGTGTTGAAATCCTTTTATTTTAGCTTAGATTATATATTTACTGATGACACGTCGAAATGTAATGCCGCCACGGGTGTTTGAACGCTTTAAAATGGCGGTTTCATTTTTCGCGGAATTATTTCGAGAACACGATTTATTATTAACAATTAGTTTAATTATCTTATAATATTGAACTATTTCTTTCCAGTGTACAATCTTATATTACGTTTATGAATATATTTTCTACAAAAACTATAACTATCTGTACAGAAATTGATAATATTATGAACTTTCGCCAAAAGTATGTAGTTTTCCCTCGCAATCTTTTGTCATTTCCGGTGCAACAACACTATTACTTTAATTATGAGAAATGATGTGTTTGTTATTTGTAACTATTCGTCAAATATTTCATAATGTATTATAAAAATGCGTTTTGATGAATGAACAAATATCTTATCATCGTTTATTTTATATACAACTCAAGTTACGATTGCAGAATTGTCTCGAAAATATTGATATTTTCAAGCTACAGATGAGTTTGCTGCGCCATCTAGCGTGGCATTATGTACTTTAATCCTATCAGCAGGTAAAGATATCATAGTAAGAAATGGCGGGAAAATTGAATATGGTTATGTATATTCTTCCTTGTATAGAAAAGTAAATTCTAATATTTTAATTGTATCAATTTTATAATTTATGATAATAATATGTTACTATGTCAAGTATTTTAAATTTAAAA